TTAACAGTGGCAGTAAATGGTATTTCTCATATCTTTGTTTCTATATAAACAGAAACCAGGCTTCTTTGTAAAACAGTTGTTTCCTGGCTTAGGTTTCGCAAAAACAAAATAAATTGGAAACATATACTGCATCAGAAATTGGGGAAATGTTCAGCATAATATCTGATACTGCTAGAAAGACTGAAAAGGGTCTTTGGAAAGGGTCTTTCAAACAAAAATTAAGGAAATACTTTGTAATAAACAATATAATGCTGGTAATTGTTTACAACCTGTCTTATAAAGTCAGATCCTGTAAGATTCATACAGATATGTGTAAATTATATAAATAAATAGAATTTAAACTCTGCCTCTTCAGGGAATAGGCCTACCAGCAATGAGTTGAGTTCCGGCACACCAGACATGGGCCTGGGGAGAGTTTAAGATCATTGCTTCCAGTGGTTAAGGATTCGTCCAACTTGTATCCACACTAGACTGAGGTCTGCAGGTTTCAGCCCTGCCTGAGCCATGCCCAGTAAACTTCTTTCAGCCTGGGGAACTTGGCTGCTAGAGGACATGAGTTCCTGCACACTCTCCGAGCCCCAGGAGAGTCTAAGATCATTGCTACAAGTGATCAAGGGCCTGCACAACTTCCAGTCACACTAGACTAGGCTTGGGAGATTTTGAGGTCAGAATAGATTATGCCTAGCTACCTTGTTCAATCAGGGGAGTTGAGGGCACGTGACTTCAGTTCCAGTGCATTGGTCCTTACCATGGAGAGCTATGGCCCATCATCCACAGTGGTTAGGTGCTTGCCCAACTTCCTGGAACACTGGATGTGGTAGGGAGGTCCTGTAAACATGACTGGACCATGCTCAGCAACCTGGAGCCAAAGGCATAGTAGCTGATTTCCAACTCACCCAGGGAAAGCATTGGAACAACACTTGAAACATGGAAATACAGGAAAAATGACAAAATGAAAGACCAAAATGCAATCTCAAACCTCCAGCACATCCCAAGAAAGCCTAGGAGTCATGTATATAGAAGAAAATATATGCCATACACCTGAAATACCTGAAATAATAGCAACTGAAATAAGGAAATAACTACAGGAAGCTTTAAAGAATTCAAATTAGAAATAATCTCCCAGATAAAAGAAGAAATGATAAAAGTAATGAAAGAGATTCTGAACACATCTAAAGAAGACACAGATAAAAAAATTAGAGGAACAAAACAAAAAGAATCTCTGGATGCACAATATAAGAAACAAAAAGAATACATGAAGCTGATTCAAAGACATATAAAGGAAAACAAAAATTCCTTTGAAAGTTTTTAAAACAGCCTCAACAAAAGTGAAGATGGATTTTCAGGCCTGGAAGACAAGATTGAAGCTAGTGAACAGGAAAGGAAAGATCTTTTAAAAATAACAAGGAATCAGGAAATAACAATTCAACAGCTGGAAGATGATGCAAAGAAAAACAACATAAGATTTATAGGGATAAAAGAAAAATAAGGGGACAACACAAGTGATATCAAGATTCTGTTTACAGAAGTAATAGCTGAAAATTTCTCAACCATGAGAATGGAAACTGACATCAGGATCAGTGAAGCACATAGAACTCCAAATAGCCATAACCAAAATAAAATTTCAATCAGACATATAATCATCACCATTCCAGAAATCCAACATAAGAATAGATTATTAAAAGCTGTGAGAGACAAAAGACAGATCACCTATAAAGAAAACTTATCAGAATCACAGCAGAGCTCTCAACACAAACAATAAAGTCAAGAAGAGCATGGAGTGAAGTATTTCAGATCCTAAAGGAAAATGATTTCCAGCTAGACTGATGGACCCTGCAAAACTGTCCTTCAGAATGGATAGAGAAAAAAGATATTTCCATGACAAAGAACAACTGAAGAACTTCATGATCATCAAACCAACCCTGCAAAGAATACTGAAAGACAATTTAGATGCACATAGAAAAAAGCCACTGATCAAAGCAGAAAATTAAACAGAATAAAAGATAAAGAAGCAACAGCAGATAGATAACATGTCAATAATAAACCAATATATGGCAGTTATAATCAATAATGTAAATGGTCTCAATTCACCAATTAAAAGAAATAGACTGGCAGAATGAATGAATAAACAATATTCAACTATGTGCTGTCTACAAGAAACCTAATCCAAAAAGATACCCACAGATTGAAAGTCAAAAAATGTAAAACAATTCTTTATGCAACAGGAACCCTCAAAAAAAGCAACGGTAGCTATTCTGTTTGCAGAGGATGTGAATTTCAAACCAAGAATGATCCTAAGAAATAAAGAAGGGCACTGCCTACTAGTTAGGGGAAAACTTCAAGAGGAACAGATAACAATGTTAAATATATATGACCCAAAGTCTAGAACACCAAGTTATATAAAGCAAGTATTAGCAGAAATGAAAAATCAAATAAGTGATAACACAATTATAACAGGAGAACTTAACACAACATTGACACCAAGGGACAGAGCAACCAGAAAGAAAATCAGCAAAGAAATAACAAAACTGAATCACACCTGTAAATAAATAGACTTGATAAACATGTACAGAATGTTCCATCCAACAATATCAGAATATACATTCTTCCCAGCAGTACATGGGATTTTATCTAAAATAGACCATATACTAGCCCACAGATCACACTTAAATAAATGCAAAAGGATTGAAATTATCCCATGCATGTTATCTGATCATAGCACCATGAAAGTAGAAATTAATGATAAAAGAAACTGTAAAAACCCCACAAGCACATGGAAATTGAATAATACACTCTTGAGCAATCAGTGGGTCACAGAGGAAATTAAAGAAGAAATTAAACAATACCTATAAGCAAATGAAAATACAATTACAACTTGCCAGAATCTGTGGCAACCGTATTTTAGTGTTCTATTTCTTCTGATCTTCTTTGCTCTGTTTTGTTTTACTCTATTTTCTTTATCCATTATTGGGATAATCTGAAAGTATTTACTTTCAATCCATGTGTCACAGATAAAAGAATATAAAATAAATACATTGTTTCTATGAGTAAGTCTATCAAGTCTCTGAAATAGATTTTATTTTATATTGTAAAAATGGACTTTTCTGTGTTGGTTAAATGATATGTAAAACTTTAGAAGGTAATACATAACGGATTTGGGTATATTACATGTTTCAACTTCTTTTGAATTTCATACAGTTCTTTCTTGCCTACTTTTCCCATGGACTTCTTTTTTAATTAATTAATTAAAAATTTGAGCCGGGAATCTTGCCATAGTTCAGCCTAGACTCAAACTCATTATGTAAGGCAGCCTTGCTTTGAACTCCAGGCAGTCCTGCTGGCCTAGCCTTTCTAGGGCTGGGGTTACAGGTGTGTGCCATCGCAACCAGCTGTAGTTCTTTGTTATATAAAGTTTTTAAAGTATTATGTGACCATCATAAAACATTTGTATGATAAAGGCATAGAACTTGACAATTATGTCATGCATGTTAATTAAGTATACACATTTAGATTCTTCTTGTATTGTTACATTAAAAAATTATTATTCTGATGATATCTAATTTATTGAATATTTTCGTCTGATTTATCAAAGTACAATTATCAACAGTAATTCACCCACGTTAGATCTATAGACACAGTGCAGCAAGCTTTGCAAATACTAACAGTCATAAAATCAGCATCAAAATCAACATATAGGATACAGGATACATCCATCACTGTCAAGAGCACCATCTTGTATATTTTGAGCCACCTGCATCCACTGCCTGAAGATTTTGGCAGCCACTGTAATCTAATCTGCCATATAAGTTTGCCTATAAAAGAAAGTGAGAACAAAATAATGAGTCATGTAATCCTTTATGTGTTATTCAGCTACAATAGTGCTTTGGACTTTTATTGTATTTGTTGCTTGAATCCATAGATAACTGTTTTTTTTTTTTTTTTTTTTTTTTTTTACCTTTGTTCTTCTGTTTCCATTGAGGCATACAAAGGAGTGTTTAATCATTATCCAATTAACCTTCCTCTTACAATTTTGTTTTATTACTAACTCTGAGTAAGTATATTACTAACATAGATAGATAGTAGTATGATGACATTTTTTCCAAAATGACAGAATTTATTTCTGTTTTAAAAATTTATGTAAAAGTAATGTACAACAATTGTACAGTTTAATAGGTTTTTCTTTGACATTTCCATACATAACATACTGACTGATTCTGTCCATATGCCCTTCTACATTGTCTTTCTTATTGTAAATAAAAACTATTAAATACTAAGTTTTATAATGATTAAAGTGATAGTCTATATTAATGAAGTGTTTATTACATGTCTTGAACCTTGAAAGCACCAAGAATAATTTTATTGAATTTTCTGATATACTTAGTGAAGTTTTCTAGTTAGGCCGATCTTTTCCAAGAGCTATCTCCTACTCAAATTTCTGTATGTTTTATGGTAATATATTTAACAAGAACAAGTCTCATGGCCATATTTAGAGCAAATGTAACAGGTGCCAATTAAAAGTTTAAAGAGAATGGTAAGCAGAAGTTATCTTCCTCATTTCCAGCTTTTTAACTTAAATATAACTATCTTACCAAACATTTTTGTTTCATTAATTTTTCTATTTTCAACATACGGTAATGGGTAACATAAGTCTTTATGTCTTGAGCTATATATTAGAAATACACCTCCCAAGAAACTTATTTTAGAAATACAAAAGTCTCATGCTAAATATATCTTCCATGCTTGCAGATCAATATTGCTTAATTTTTTAAAAATTCAAATTCTCCAAGATTTTAAACTTTTTATACCATAAAATTTAGAGTGAAATCTAAACAACTTAGTATTGTACAATATATCTTCAGTGAGGTTATATATGAACCAATAATATATTCATTTATTTAACAGCTTCAATGATTCTGTAAATGAAATATCTATCAATATGGGTTGCTATGATGACCAAATTAAGCACTGTTTTGATACTTAGAGTTTACATATTTTGCACAATGAAGTAGGTGAAGAAGGTCAAATATATGAAATAATTGAATGTTTTAGCCAAATGTGTGAAAGAGACAGAACATTAAGATAAAATAAGAGATATACAAGTGATTAGAGAAATTCTCTTTCCCAAATGTATCATTTTCAAGGAATTCACAAGAGGATAGTAGCTTCATCTACAGATCATGGTAGGTGTGTTTGAATGAGTCCTTTAATTGAGACACTTAGATATGTTGAAGAACACTCAGATATAAATTAAAAAATACAGTGAAGACTAAAAATTTTGGAGTCATATATATGTTTTCATTGCTGAAACATGATGGTAAACTGATAATAAATACTTCTAAACAATTATGATAACATTCTCTGGTAATTCTGTACTTAAAAAATGTCACAAAGTATCTTATTTATGAGAGGAATAAAACGACAAATAGTTAAAATATATTTAGATACGTGAAAGAAGTGGTAACATATGTGCTGTATCCCCAATGAAAATAGATGCAACAATCTAAACAAAATAACTTTAAATCAGACATCATCATATTAACCAAACTGCATAGAGAGGTAACAAGTGGTTATTGTATCAGAGATGTGATACATTTCAACACAGAAAATCAAGAGGAAAAAATTGCATGAATTCTTTTAACACATGGAGATAAAGCCTTCAGTAAAATTAAATGTCACTATGGAAAAAACCCTCCATAATCTACACATTGAAGGATTTTACCCTAAATAATAAATGTTGGTTTGACAAACCCAAAGCCCATACAATAGTGAGTGAAGAAAAACAGAAAGTCTATCTCTAAAATCAAGAAAGAGTTATCACATCAATTTTTCTAGAAAACTTGGGGAGATCAAAGATAGAAAAGATATCCAAATAGATAAAGATGAAGTTAAATCCTTTCTGTCTTGCAGGAAAAATGTGAGTCTATATCTAGAAAACAGTATGAATCTTCTAAAATTTTCTTACATTAATAAATTTGGTACAGTAGCAGGTTACAAAATGAATAGTATTAAAACAAGCATTCCTGTTCACAAATAATTAACAAAATAAGAATTCATGAAAACATACTATTCATAATAGCCTCAAAAAAACAAAAATCGCACAACCTACCAAAGCAGATAAAAGTTCTATACAAAAAAAAAAAAAAATGAAACACATAGTAACGGGAAAGTGACAATAAAATAATATAAAAATCATCCATGTTCATTGACTAGGAAAGTAACGATTTTAAAATGATTGCATAACCAAAACAGATCTGAAGATTCTATGTAATTCCCATCAACTACCAATGACATTCATCACAGTACAAGAAAAAATCCTAAAACCTATATGGAAGCAAAAAGACCCCAAATTCTCAAAGGAATTCCGAGTGAAAAGAATTATGCAGGAAACATTGTAATACCTGATAATAAAAATACACTACACAGTCTCAATCAGCACAAACATTTTGTTGACATAAAAAACAGACATGTAGACCAAAAGAAAAGAAGATCCAAGAATAAATCTGAACTTCTACAACCATCTGATTCTTAAAAAGGAGCCAAAAATGTTTGTAAAAGAGTTTCTTTGACACTGAGTGCTGGCAAAACTGGTCATCCATATATGGAAGATAAAAACTAAATCTCCGTATTACACACTGTGTATATGCAAATTTAAAACACAACATGGGCTTAAATATACATATGTTCTCAAATATTGAGATCATTAGAAGAAAACATGCAGGAAACACTCAAAATACTGCTGTAGACTATGATTTTCTGGATAGGATTCCAATGTACAGAAAATAATAGACAAGAATGAGAAATGCCCTAGATAAAATAAAAAGTTTCACAGCAAAAGAAAGAATCAATACAGGGAATAAGCAGTCTTCAGAATGGGAGGAAATCTTACTCAGCTGTTCTGACATAAAACCACTATCCAGACTATGCAAAGATCTCAAAAAGTTTCACAACAGAACAAATATTCCTTTGGATACTTTATCATGAGAGCAGAATGTATCTTTGTAAAGAGGAAAAATATTTTTTGTTGTTGTTCTTCTTGTTAACAGGGATCAAACTGAGGACATTGCACTTGCCAGGCAGGGATTTACACTGCTGAGCTAAACCCCAGACCCACATAAAATATGTTTTACAGTGCTTGATATATTTATCATTAGGGAAAGACAAAACAAAACTACTCTGAAATTCATCTCACCCTACTCAGAATGGCCAGAGTCATGAAAACAAACCACAAAAATATTTGTGAGGATGTGCAACAAAGAAACACAAAGTTTTGGTAAAAATATCAACTAGTACATCCATATTAATTAATGTCAATGTTCCTCATAGTCTCAAAACAGATCCACTGCAAAATCTAGTTGTGTCACTCCTGAGTATGTGTGTGGCATAATGAATGTCCTTATAAAATGAAGAGAAATACATATCCAGGCTTACCGTGGCACTACTCACAATGAGCAAAGAATTGATGATCAACTTTCATGTCAACTTTTAAAGTTCTTTTTACATTGTTCATATGAGAGAAATGTGCTGCGTATCTTTCAAAGTCTTGTTTATTTCACTTCATATAATAATCATTAGTTGCACCTATTATCTTCAAATGATACGCTTTTGGTCTTATTTATAGATGTATAATAATTTGTTGTGCATACACTACATTTCATTATCATGCATGTATGGGCATTGAAGATGATCATGTAATCACTGCTATGACGTTGTTAAATCTCACAGAGACACAGCAATGTGACACTTTTCATGGCTTTGAAGATAGAGCCTCAAAATAAATGAAGCAAGAAAAAACAAAAATGAAAATTTAAAATCTCCAAATTTAACTTGAAATTTGAACACTTCTCTTAGAAATAGATGAAAAGACAAGAAAACGATAAAGACATAGATGAAATGAACACACAAGAGAGGCCTCTGAGCCGTAGGTAGTGATAAACTGAGATTTTCCTGGTTCACTGATGTGAATGTTACAAGGCCATGAAACAAGTAAAAGGAACTGAAAAGGAGTACAGTAGACTGTCTGGATGATGAGAAGAAGCTGAATACAGGGGAAAGAACAGAACAGCAAAAATTAGAGAAAGGGCACAGCTTGGCAACAGACAAAAGCATGCAATAAAAGTGCATGATCATGAGAAATGTCTCAGCAGCTTCCTATGTGTAACCCTGATTAATGCACTAGGGTGTCGACCCAGCTCAGTATCGTACCTCTGATGGGAAATCTTTTGACTCAAAGTACATTTTCAAGTATTCACAGAAGTACTCCTTGACCAAATTAGCAATTCTAGTTTTTCAGGAACAAATCTTTTGACTGTATATATGAATACAAAGCTAACCAACAGATAACAAAGAAATTAATCACCTAGAATCCATGCAAATTATTAGTAGGCATTAAAATCAAACAGTAATATGACCATAAATGAAGGAATATAAAACAGTACATTGAGAACAGTTCAGAATGGACACAAATGTTAGAAATTGCTGAGAAGACTAAAACAAGTAGATTTTTGAAAATATTTTTAAGATATTTCCACTATTAAATCAAGCTAAAAATGACATATACAAATCATCATCAAAATTGATAAATGACCTCACTAGTGATTGGGCTGACATTAGAGGATAATAATGCAATAATACAGAGAGGTATTTGTTAATTAATTAAAGAATTTTAAAGAAACCTACAAAGCTGCTTTGGTACTGAAAAAGAAATAGATAATTTAAGTACCACAGAATTTATTACAGGCATTAAATATTAAGTTCAAACATTCCAACAATGAAAACCATGGGCACTGCATCACATCATCCTGATAAAATTAGCTTAAAAATTATAAAAATTCTAGGTAAGTTCTTTCAGAGAATTAAAGAAGATAGAATAATTTTCATCTGATTATCTAAGGGCAATAGCAAAGTGGAGAAAATAGAACAGCATACAGTTAAATGACTGAAAAGTATTAATTTAGACCACATGTAGTACAAACTATATAATATATAAACAAGAGCTAAAGTAGGAAATAGCATCAAAAGATTCAAAATGAAATATACTATAAGAGTAATGTAGGGTTTCTTAAAATTTTATTAGATTTAGTAACTCCCTCCACTAAGGCTCCTCTCTTTTTGAAATGTGTTCTGAGGATAATGCCTAAGTTTTCATATAATATAAATACTATCTTTATATTTGTACCTATGATATTCTTCCAGAAATACAAATTACTCCTTGTTAGAAAGACCACAATTGCTCAGTTGTCTAAATTATTTAAGCTGCATGTGAGACTCATTTATATTCTGAAATCCTAGAAATGTTTTTTACAAACACTATTTCACAAACTTTTGACCAAAAATTTAAAAAACCACATCTGGTTGCACCATGTATTTATCGTGGTAGAGGTTCTGAAATAATTCTGTGGTAGCTACAGCAAATGAAGCTGTAAGAGGCTATCTTTATGACTCTCAGTTTATTGTAAGGTGGAGCTAAAATTAACTAAGCAAGTTTATTCCTTCTGGAAGTAGTCATGCCAATGATAACACAGACATTGCAACAAAAAAACTGTTTAGGTCTCCTTAGTTCAAAATTAACATCATTCATATTTTGTCTTAGTGGAAGATATGACAAATCTCTTAGATTCAGAAATGACATAAAGCTCATGTGTGATGAAAATTAGTGAAGAAAAATGAAGCACAACCTAGATAAAGAATGAATAGAGAAACAAGCAAACGTAGAATTTGGTTAAAAAAAAAAAAAAACATTCCAATATGCACAGCTTGTTTTGGAAAATTTTATTTCCTGCAAATTTCAGCCCTTTCGGCCATTCGTTTGAGATTTAGTACTGTGTTGAAAGAAGTGAAAGTGTAGCTGTGGTACTGAAGACAAAGCCACCTCCGTATATCAAAGTCTCCTGAGGCTGACACCCCACATTGCTGGTCTCTGGTCTTGCATCATCTTGCTGAATGGTTGGTCAGAGACTCCCAGAAGTCTCACCCTCTCAGTGTAAACCTCATGTGCTAATAAGCACTAAGCCTTCTGCATCAAATTCTCAAATTCTCGAGCATCCTCATCACTAGCTCTGCAAGAGTGGTATTTAGACAGCAGACAGCTGCCACAATGAGCCAAGAACACTTCGCTTTCTTTTATACATTTCTTTTTGCTTTATTGAACTTTATTTTATGGTAATGGAAGTTGTACTGCGTTTTCTTCTCCAATGCAAATAAGCAATGAAAAACAGGAAACTGAAAACTTGTGTAGTAAGCATCATCTCTGAATAAAAATTCCAGATGTTTATCAAGATCTGCTATGTCTATATCAAATTTAAATAATTCTGAATTTATCCTAACTGGTTTTGTGGGCCTAGAAGGTTACTATCAGTGGGTCTCCATCCCTTTCTCCCTCGTCTACGCCATGGTGCTCCTGGGAAACTGCATGGTGCTCCATGTGATTCGAACTGAGCCGAGCCTCCACCAGCCCATGTTCTACTTCCTGGCTATGCTGGCCCTCACAGATTTGTCCATGGGGCTGTCCACCGTCCATACAGTGCTGGGCATCCTGTGGAGGTTCATTCAACAGGTCAGTCTGGATTCCTGCATTGCTCAGTCCTACTTCATCCACGCTCTGTCCTTGATGGAGTCCTCAGTCCTCCTAGCTATGTGCTTTGACCGCTACATTGCCATTTGCAACCCCCTGAGGTACTCCTCCATTCTAACTGATGAAAAAATCATGAGGATTGGCATAGCAGTCTTAGGTAGGAGTTCTTTACTCATTGCTCCAGCCATTATCCGCCTGAAGTTTTTAAACTACTGCCGTCCTCATATCCTGTCACACTCGTTCTGCCTACACCAAGACTTACTCCGAATGGCCTGCTCAGACATCCGCTTTAATAGCATCTACGCTTTGGCTCTGGTGATTGGCACTCTGCTGTTGGATGCAGTGCTTATCCTCGTCTCCTATGTCATGATCTTGCACACAGTTTTAGGCATTGCATCCCGGGAGGAGAGAATCAAATCCTTGCAGACTTGTGTGTCTCACATCTGTGCTGTCTTGGTTTTCTATGTCCCCATTATCGGTCTGACCGTGGTGCATCGCTTTGGAAAACACCTCTCCCCACTCGTTCATGTCCTCATGGGCAACATCTACATCCTCCTCCCTCCCTTGATGAACCCCATCATTTATGGCATCAAGACCCAACAGATACGAAGGAGAATTCAGAGCTGGTTGTACCTGAAAGGAACTTAGGTTTTGTGATTTGATGTGAATATATTTAGAAAGTACCAAGGGGAGTCACCATGGTAAGCGTAATAAGATAATAATGTGTTTATTCAGTAGTGATTTTGGGTTTTTTATGTTATATGAAATTTTCTGTCATGTTTACAAATACTGTGTCAGTGAAATTTTCTTCTATACTACTAAAATCAGTTTTATGTACTGTAAGACATATAGAGAATATGCTGCAATTCAAATTAACATATGATGCTGTTTCTTTAGTAATATTCACATCTTGCTGTGAGGGTTTTTTTTTTTTTTTCTTTTTTTTTTTTTTTTTTTTAATCTTCCCATTCCACATTCAATTTTGGTGGCAAAACCCTTCAAATATTTCCTAAATGATCCTCAGTTTTTAGTCTATTTTCAACTTTTATAGCATAATCCTGTGTTTTATGCATGATCCTAACTATGCTGTTATTTCCACAAGGTGAATATATAGCGGATAAGCAGTGTAAAAAAAATTGGACTCTTTAAATCACAAGTAGTTAAACAACTGTCCAAAATGAAATCCTCCTTACAGGTACTCTACCAAAGCAAGAGTTTCCCCAGAACTACCCTGTGAATGGTGAATGAGATTTTCATCGAGTTTGTTTGTAAGAACAAGCGTTGGACTGAGTAACCTTTTGTCATTTGTGTCTGTATTTAAGAAATGCCTGTAGCAAGTGCCATCGGAAGATCATCTGAGTCATTAAAAGTAGTGACTTGAGCCCAGGTAATTGGCTAAGCTCATTCAAACCTCAGATCATAATGAAATGGACATAAATTTATGCATCTTTACTGTGACTAAGCTTCGTAAATGTTTCTAATTTAATCTCCAATTCTAATATATTTTATTGCAATATATCATTACAGATTTTGATACACATTGGTTAAGTGGTATGAAAAACTATATTAGGTAATACATTATGGTTCTGGAACTTTTTTTGTCTGTTTCATTTGTTTTTAAACTCATGATAGCTCTTTCTTTCCTGCTTCTTATATATTTCATTTATAGAAAGTGTTTAAGTGATGCTGTGCTCATTGCAATATTTATATTGTAATTCAAAATTTACCAAAGTAAATCATGGATAATAATAAAATGTATACATGTAAAAACTTCTTGTGCGTTTATTATCCTATAATATTATTTGTACAATAGATGACTAACTTATTCATTATTTTAGGGTGGCTTATCAATCTGTATTTGTAAACAGTAATTTATCTTTGTACACATTTTTGAAAGTTTTGGAATGATTTATAATCACATAAATACCAAAGTCAAGATATAACAGTTTTCTGTCACCCTCCAAAGGGCCTTACATCTGTTTTATGGTTTTTCGTCTTACATTACCTCAAGTGTTTGTCAGCCAATAATCTAATTTGTGTTGTTGAGGTTTGCCTTTAAAATGCTCAGATAGTGATATAATAGCTAACATAACGTTTTCTACTTGGATCTTTCTCTTCCATTTCATTTTGGACGTTCGTTCTTGTTGCCGCTTACATGCATAACTCATCCTCTTCCCTGCTTGTTATGGTTCCATTTTGTCATACACAGAATGTATTTAGTCATTCATTAATCTACATCTTAGATTTGTTTTGGTGATTCTGAATAAATGTGCCCATACATAGATATCACATGATCGTACCATTTTTTCTTAATGAAAGAATTCATATTTAAAAGCTTTACATAATTATTAAAGCCCATTAATTGTCAGATTAGTTGGTTTCCCTGTGATATCTGTGTGCTTGTACATATAGAACTTTTCTGATTGTATCCAACCTCACTTCTACTCTGCCTGGCTTACACTTTTATTATTATAAAGACAAGGACCATCAGACAATAATGATCACCACAATTTAAAAATAATCCATTTAATCTAATCAGGTATCTATTGTATGTCATGAATCTTGGAAGCAAAGAGTAGAACTGCATTTACTCTTCAGGGCAAATTTGTGGATAAATCATACTCATTCAATTTTGTCACTAATAATATTGAAAAGGCTGTAAAGTCACTAGAAAAATGTTGGGTAAAAGTATACTTTTATATTTACAAGTGAACTCTTAAATGAGTTATCAACTGAAAATATCCTGTAATAGATCTTTTTTTTCAACTTACATTATGATACACTAAAGTGCTTGCCTTAGGTTTTGCAATTTTCATGTAGGGAGGTTTATACCTTTTTGTTTCCACAGTGATCCTACTTATGAAATGGTATACTGAACTGACAGTTATTCCCTTAAAGTAAGTCACTAGTTTTCAATAATTATACCTTTGCTGTGCTGTGATATAATTATTTCAGTAACTCCTTTGCTAATTTGAAGCTGATAGTATGTGCTACATTATTTCCTGTACAGTTCTCTGCTCACTCACTCCCATGTTGGGCATTACTTATGTTAAAGGGGAAGCCACATGTCTTTGAGGACTGGCTGAGTGAACAGTCTGGGCCTACGGTCTCATAGTTAAATTACATGGCTGATGCATATTGGATGAATTGCATGATGCCTTATTACTTTGCATGGAACCTAGTCAGCTCTGTACCCTGTGTGGAATTTGACAGATTATTTTCATTGGATTCTTTCAGTGAGCCATTCACGTCTTGGCTTTTACTGAATACGTCCTGAAACATGATCCACACTGTCCTACTTTTCGAATTGAAATGTGTTTTCATGGCCCAATTGACACATGATCTATGTAACCCTCTTGACACCATCATAATTGTACCATTATTCGGACTTATGAGTTTCCTACAAGGATAGAAAAAAGCTCCTAGATCACTTTGAGCCCACTGGAAGAGAAGAGAACTAGACGAGATCTATTCCTCCTGACTGACTATGTGACATACTCATTTTTACCCCAGTGTTCTCCCACGTTCTGAGAAGAATCGCAGAATTTAAGTGAGATAAGAGAATACATGGAATTACTGACTTTCTTTTATTTATTTAGCTTCTCAAGCACACTGGATTTCTATCCTTTCTTAGCTTGATGTTTTCAGTGGGATCAGAGAATGTGCAGCTTTAACCATTCTTTAAATTCCTATCTTCCCTATTTTCCTTCTTTATGTCCTTCTACCATCTCAAACTGGAATGGTTTGCCTACTTTTGTTTTGTTTTGCTGTGGTTTGTAAAAGGGATTTTCTCCGTATCTAACTTTCTCCCCTCTATTGTAGTTCTAGTTTTTATTCTGTAGCAGAGATTTTTACTAATAGCTGTTGGAAAAAACAAATACAGTTAAGCAGTTAAGCATAGTCAGTTGTCTAATGTACTTGCATTTTACATTTTCATATATATATATATATATATATATATATATATATAACTTTTGTATGTGCTATATGTTTTTGAATGCCTTTAAACTCTATTTTCAATTACGTGATTCTTTATGGTAGTAAATGCTACACTTTGCGATTTCCACTTGTAAGACAATGCAAATTTCTTTCGTCATATTTTATTTGTCATTGTACTACATTTAAAGGATTTACCAATCCACATAATTCCACAACTTTGAAAACAAAAATCTTTGTTATATTTATAAATTATTATTCACATTCTTGTAACATTTATTATGTTGCAAATGGTACTGAAAGAGCATTACATATACTTTCTGTATTGAAAAGTTTAGCACATAGGAAAAATGATTTCTCAGATAGTATGATTATTAATAGTGGAGTGGAAATTTTATTAGTGATAATGTGTCTTTGGGGATTGCCTTCTTCATAAGTCTACATTTTGTCCTAGTGCAAAAACATTGACCGTCTTGATAACTAACTTGATAATTATCATTGCACTGAATGATGATCTAGGAGTCTCCATTAGCAATTTATATTTTGATCCTGTACATCCTTTGCACTATTTTATCTTATAATCTCCAGCATCCTCACTCTCACACACTTCTAACAACACTTTCTTTTCTATATTGTTTCCCAATGTCCTTCTCATGGACAATCTAAAGTTCATTTTAAGTAGCAGAACATTTGAATGTCTAGAAAGTGTTAATGTAGTATTAAATAAACTTTTTTCTTTTTTCTTAAGGGGTGTGGGGACAGGGGATTGAACTCACGACTTTATGCTTGCTAGGTGGGTGCTTATGCCACTGAACCAAATTGCCTGCCATAAATAGAGACTTCTAATTAAGGAAAGGAGATTTTTTTTGCCATTAAAGTTTTAAAACAATCCTTATATAATTCTGGGATGCATGAACTGGTCTTGCTTCTGTGAACAATTCCATTTGTAGTCTTATTGTTGACTAAATATGATTAGTTCTGTGAATTTCAGTCAATTTCATACAAAAATAAGATTAAATTGCTTGAGACAAAGTCTTATATAAGATCTGACAAATGTTATCCAAGGGATATAAAAAAATTAAATAGATCAATAATTAGTAGTTACATTGTAGCATAATAAAAATCAGCCTGTGACTATGTGGGTTCACTGCTCAACAGACTTTTGAAAAACTAGAACCTTTTTTTTTTAAAGAGAAAAATATTTTAAAATACCACTAAAACAGAGATTTAAGAAAATCCAGTAGGACAGTAATAACAAAAATAGATTGCATATTGTTTTCTACATAATAGTTCTATTCAAACTCATCCATAAAATAGAAAAAGAGAAAACTTCCAAACTCATTGTGTAAACTTTTGACAGTAAACTGATGCCACAAAAGGAAAAATGCAGACAAATACTTCCAATGAAAATAAATTCAACGATCCACAAAAAGTAAATGCAAAATCAAATTTATCATCTCATTAAAAATATCATATATAGAAGTAGGCATTTTTATACTAGAGATTGAAGTGTTTCAACATGTGCTAATAAATAAATATAAAATCCAACATCAAAATCAAAGAAAAAATTACATGACCTTTTCAACACATGCAGATAAAATTTCAATAAAATTAAATGTTCCTTCTTATATATTTTTCTTTTTACTGTCCCTTCTACACCCTCTCCTTACATTTGGTTTCTTTAAAATGAAAGGAATAAATACGTACACCCT